CAGGAATGCTGGGAAGTATTGTTTGTCATGGGAATAGGACACTTCAAGCAAAGGTAGAAGTGAGCAAATGAGGAACAGAGCAGTGATGGATAAGGAGTGAAAAATGCCAAAATTATACATAGAAATTCAGGAGGAAAGGAAGCGAGAGTGTGTAGCTCTAGAAACCATCTGCAGCTTGGACAGATGGGAAGGAGAGAGAAAGAGGGTTTAAGTTTAAAGTTTCTGCATGTATATGGTTAAAACTTAGTTCTAGGTACATTTGTGAGCTATCACTGAGCTGTTCTTGCTTTTTTCCTTTTTCTCAGTCATCTTTCACTTAAAATGCCAGAGAAGATGCTAGGAGTCTAAAGAAACAATGTGGTCTTTTTATAGCAGCATCAGAGGGGGGAAAAACAGAACTTGGTTGTATTTTAATGGAATTAGAAATCAGCATTTCCATGCCTAGTTCACTGGAGTGTCCTTCCTCATTTTGTTAACTGAAGTGGTCATGAGCATAGCCAGTATTATTTATATGCTTGGTATAAAAAGAGAGACCTTCTGGCCACTAACAGCAATATTTATGAAAATTCATTAGTTCACACTTGTGCAGTGCTTTAAGAGCTAATTAGAGCTCAGTACAATATATGCCACTTCAGTACCTCTCAAGTGGTTAATATTATAATCCCTCCAATTTTATTACAAACTGAAGTCATTTGTATGCTAGTTAACAGTGTTAATGAAGCCAAAGACTGCTTTGGCTCCGTAGCCTAGGTGGTTCTTACAACTTGCACTTAGGATTCTGATCTTCCTCAAGCTTTCTCTCCTTCATCTACTGAGCTTTTTTTCTCCTGGCCCCTATTCAGATGCCTGACAGGGATTAGTTACAGAGTTCATGTCAATCGGCCTGACGCTCTTTGACATCTAATTAACGTGTCAGATTTTTCATTGCAAGTTGATTTCCGGTAAAAATCTCCTGAAATGACTCGGATAAACGTACCCGTTATCTTAATTCTGCAACGTGCAGACAGATTGAACCAGACATTTCTGAGCCTTTATATTAGTGATGGTGAGCTGTTCAGTTATGTGGTTGGAAAGGTTGGCTGTTCTCACTGGGATTTGCTTGGAGGCACTGGCAGCTGCGGAGTGTCTGGTAACAGGGAGGAAAGCACTTCTGGGTGAGAGTGCCCTGGTGCATGGCCTCTGCTTCTGGGCCTTTTGCTGTGGACTGGCATTTCTTGGCTTTGCTGCATGAGTCCTTAACAGAGAAGCATTTTGAGGTAGTCTCCAGGAGTTTTTGAATTCTCTGAGAACAGATAAGTGAGATGAGAGCTGAGTTGCTCAGATGCCTAATAAGCTTTTCTTGTTAAAGATAGCTTCTAGGTGGGTTTGGATGTTTGCTACCAGCAATTTTTGATCTTCAGATAAATACTTCTTGCCCCACTTGCAGATGACACTGAGTAGTGGTTGGTTGCCTGCAGTGCACATGGCAGTGATGACACTTTATTATGTCCCCATTTGCATAGAACTGCAGACACAGGGCAGTAAGGATGACTGGATATGCATTTACCTCTGTTTACTTGTGTGACATGTCTGTGAGTGCTAGATCAGATTATAGAAGACAGGAAAAGGCGTGTTCAGCTTGAACTTTTACTGCCACTTTTGCTGCAGCTTCTCTAGCATTTTTCTGTTGCAGAGTAGGATTTTTGGACAGTGTTGTGTTTACTGAAAAATTCTATTTTGTCATATTCTGGATGGGCTTTTCTTCTGTCTCTGAAAATTGGTGGGCCTGTCATATGCATGAAGATGTTAAATTAACTCTAGAGAAATAAGGAGTTCTCAAATGTCTACTGCAAAGTATGAGTAAAATTTACCACCCCTACAGGTGCTACACATCCTTGAAATGTGTTTGGTTATAGAGCAGTGATCCTGCAGAGGTCAGAGCTGTTTGAAGCCAGACTAGGCTGCCAGATGTTGAGGTCTTCCTCTTTCTCTAGTGTGGAGGCCAATCTTATCAAACAGTTACGAGGTCACTTTGTGTCTCAATGCAGTCATGAGTGTAGAAACTGGAAGCAGACAGAGTCTCTTGTCTGTTGTTCATTAAAAGCATCTACACCATGTTTGTGACACTGAATTTCAGAAGCCTTTCAGCAGCTTGTGCCTTCTACAGTGTGTTGATATTCCTCTGAATATTCACCCTCTGCAACCTCCCTACACCACCAAGTTGGACATAGAGATGTCTTCTCCCCTCTCCCTTTCCCAGATCTCCTCTTGGTTCTGGGATTGAGTGGTTGGTGCTCCCACTCTTATTTCTGCTTGAAGCATGTAGGTGCTGATTCTATTGGGACGTGCTTGAGTGCATGAAGTGTCAGTAGAAAGTTTCTCAGGCTGCCAGAAGAATCTTCTTCATTATGAGGTCTTCATATATGAGATCAAATCGCTCTGTGTTTCTATAAACAAGGGAATTAATTATTTGGGCACCTAAGCATTTAAGTCATAGTTATTTAGTTTAAATATAATATTTTAATTACACTGAATATTGCCTATTTTTTTGTGGGCAAAACCAAAAAGTTGCTGTTTTTTATGTATTGAAATATGAACTATTTCCCCCTTCTTTTCCCAGTG